TTGGCAGAACCCCCTCCTATTAACAAGTGACTTTGCCAGAGACAAGTCACTTTTGGTCTTGGTACCCCTGCCTGGATTTTGCATTCCTCTACATCTTTTCCCAAAGCGGCTTCCACAACAGCATAGCTCCTCCTTTTGGAATCAAAGGCAAGTTTCTCCTGCTGCTTTCGCCAATTCATACCTGACATCTTCAAAAACTTGTTCATGAGGATGAAGAGAGGTTCCAAAATGTCAGTAAGGACTGCAATTCGGTGGCCTGGTTGGCTTGCCACCCACTCACGGGCAGTTTGTTTGGACTGCCTTTTCTTCCTCTTCTTCTTCCAATCTGGTTCATTCAGATCTTCCTCTTCCAGCGGGCTGGAATCCTCTGGCAGCAGTTCCTGTTCAACAGCAGCACCCCTGTTCTCAGGGGCTTCTGATTAAAGCCATTGCGCTCATCCAAGGATCACCTGCATGTGCGACAGGAGTAGCAGAACAATCTGGTTTGGGTTGGTGCGGCTGCCTGGGTTTTCCCAGAAAGGCTTCCATTAGGCGCTGAAATGCCATGATGGCTCGCAAGGATCTCGGTCCAAGCCAAAGAATCATGGAAACTAGTCCATGTCATTCTACTCAAGACAGGGAGTTTTCGAGGGACCAATGCCCAAGCCGGGAAATGGGCCACTGTTTGCCGACATGAAGCCTTGGTCTCGCAGCACCCTCTGGCACAATAGTGGGTGATTGCTGGTGATGTCAAATCACCATTGAGGAAATAAGACCATATGAACCTCATCTTGGCATGCGTTTTTCTCTTCCAGCGAGGAATTCCAGCGTGCATAGGCAAGTAAAGGTTGAAGACTCCTTGCCGGTACTCATCATACTGGCTGCCAGGTTCAATGGCAGGAGGGGCATGAACTATTTCAAGATCTTTCTCCAGGATTGAGTATCCTTGTGGCCCCCAGCTCCACACGGGACAAGCATTGCCACTTGCATTTCTAATGCTAGTCAGTGAAAAACTCTGCACGTAGGTTAGCATCTATCAGCTACACTGATACGCACTGCCATCTCAAACCCATTGGAGATCCTGGTGCATTCCGGAATTGAAGACACTTGTTCCCAAAGCACTACAGTAAGCGTGTATTTTCACCTGTCGTTCGATCCACTGCAGAAAGGTGCGTAGGTAGCATCGAAGTGCAGAAAGTAAATGAGCTGTCCTCGAGCTTTTGAAGGAGTGCACCCTGCACATGCTGGCATTGAATGATTTTTGCATGAGTGCATGTCTCATCTGGATTGTCTCTTGGAAGGATTTTGTGATCATTGTCTGAAACTGACACCCTGATTTTAGAGGGTGAGCACCAGGAGAGGTCTCCAGCCTGGGCCAGTGCTGTTTGCGCCGCTGGCAGTGCCCTTGCGCTTGATCAGGAAGTGAGACAAAACAACTGCCCACATCCAAGTCCCAAAGGCAAAGATTGCAGCTCCAACTTGGAAAAGCAAGTCTTGTACATAGTGAGGTTGTTGCATCAACTGCTCCACACCCTTACATGACGCTGGCACAGCAGCACCAGCCAACAGAGCATCAATAACTGGATCTGGGTCATCCTTATCAACTTCTGAACCTGATGCCTTTTGGCTTCACTAGGCATCACGACACATCCCCCACAATGAACGCTGCGTAGTGTCTCCTATAACTCTATAACAGCTTCAAGTTCTTGGCCTGATGCTTGAAGTTGGAGCTGCTCTTGCCTGCGTTTCTCAATTTTCTGATGTCTCATCAGGCGAGCGTGCTCAATCGAACCTGGCTTTGGTGTTTCAGTCACTGGCTTTGCACTTTCCCAAGTCTGGTTTTGCGCAGCCCACGCCAAAAAACTCTTGGTTGTCCCCTTTGGTCGTCCCCTTCGCGGCTTGCCTGTGACAATTGTTGGTGACGTGATTGCTGCATCTACATCTACGTCGATGTCACCACCTGTAGACACTTTCTTACTCTCTTCTTCTTCTTCTGATTCTGGATCTAGCTCTGGGAAAAATCACACCTGGATCATCCAAGAAGGACAATGATTTCAATGATTTCCCTGAAAGCGTTGTTGGAGTATATATATAGTCGCATTCATCATCCAACTCGCGTGCCTCCTGTGACTTCTCCTGTAAAAGAAAGCTCTGCAAAGGGTCACTCGCTGTAATCATGTGGTGTTGACTCGACGCATCAGCTTCTTTTGGACGCTCTTTGGGCAACAAATCATCAACATCCAAGGCATCGTCGGATTCTTGGTTCGCACCATGTTGGCCAACAATGTTGCTCATGCCAGCAACAGGCAACAAAAGGTAGTAATTCAGCACATGGTGTCAAGAGAATCTGAGAATCTCTGGTTCAACACTCTGGGGGTGCAAGTCGTGATATTTGATTTTGAAATATTCCTTCATGTTTGTATATTGCATATGCTTTGTATGCAGCCTATGCCATATGCCTATGCAAAGCCAAGTCAGAAGCAATATCCACTGCTGAGGAACAATGAGCCAAGAAGCATGCATGTGACATGTGATTTGTATTGTGCTGTTGGTGCCACCAACCAAACACATTGTTTCAAAACAGGTTCACGTGTACGACAGCCATATCCCCACCCCCAGCGGCCTTGGCCGTGAAATCTTCAGCCAAGTTGAAGAGCATAGATTGAACTTGGTCAGGTAATAGCCGCAACTACCCACTTCCTCCATGGCCTTGCTGAACAGCTGGCAAAACCTGCCACAGCTTCACAGCTACGCAGCTGCGCTACAGTGTGGGCGGCGGAGTGCTGAACTGTTGCAATGAGCTTTGCAACTTTTAATATCAATCATGAGACTCCAGACTGCCTACTTCAAGTGTCACATCTTCTCAAAGCAAGTGTTTATAAGTCTTTGCGCAGCTTGTCCCCAGCCTGTTGAATGGAGTGACGCTGGTCGTGGGATCCAATGGCATCAAGAACCCCTTTACCTGCTCAAACGGGCCTATGAGTGGCTGCTTCTCTTGGTACATTGCAACGATGCTTTCCATCGTCACACATCTCACAGCTTGTGCCCGCTCACAGCTCCAGGCTGAAATCGCGAGGACTGTGCACTGGATCACAGGGGTTTCCGGAAACCATGAGAGAAGGAGCTGAGTGGTCGCACGCATCACAATGTTTGGTCCAAGGATGGAGCAAACAGAGAGCAAACAGTTCCGTCCGACTTGTTGATCTTCAACTCTTGCAAAAACATGGTTGAAAGACTTTGCGCAATTTACCAGACAGCTCGCACATTTGAAAGTCTGAAAGTCTCAGGCCGACTGTTCTCCAAGAACAGGCTTCTGAAGTCTGATCCCAGCTCTGAGGCTGACAGCATGCGGTGTGGAATGTCCAAGGCCTTGAAGGATTCAATGACTGATTACTAGTTGCGCTTGAATCCAAAAATGCAAAATTTTAGATACCATATGCTCATTCATACCATACCCGGCATACCCATCAATTTACCCTTGACCCATCAAATGTGCCGTAGCCAAACTTGCAGAGCTAGACTGGATTCAACACTCTCTGGCTTTTTGTTCCTATCAGAAACTCTTTACTGCAGACTTGGCTAGACTACAACCATGTTCATTGTCATGTCCTGCTGACATACTAAGGGTCATGTCATTAACACACACACACACACACGCAAACATGTATAGCCCAGCCGCCAGCCTTCAACACTTCTGTCTCTGCACAGCAGCCAGTACAGCAGGAAAGAACCTGAAGGAACCTGTTTTCTGAGTGGGCCTTGGCTTTGGCTTCTTCAATTTTCTCTAAAAGGCCAAGGCGTCTTGCAGAATCCACGATCTGGTTGACCCACCATCTCTGTTCAAGCTCTGATCCATCAGACTGCGATGGCTGTGTATCAAAGGCATCACTGGTTTCACTTCAGATTTCATCAGCCTTGTTCACCTCTGCATCACGCTCTTCTGACTCTGGCGAGGTCATGTCAGCCACTATCAGCCCATGAACCAAGGGTTCCAAACATTGTCCTAATCCCTGGCCCTGGGCGCTTGACCTGGGCACAGGGCACTGACCGGGCACTGGAATACTTTCTTGAGAAGGAATGGCGGAATGGCGCCAAATTGGTTCAATTCAGTATTTGCCCAATGTGAGTACAGAATACAAGTATACCAAAGAAAAGGTGAATGTACAAGGATGATTTCAGAATAGTAAAAGGAAAGGCACGGTAACAAAAGCTTCAAAACGAATAGGTGAATAGAATAGCCATAGAAACAACAATGATTGTCAGAATAGTAAAGAGTAAAAAGAATAGTCCAACAACTTCAGAATAGGAAGAATAATAGGAACGGTATAGGCATGGTTTCAGATTAGTAAGAAAAATAGGATCAGGAATAGACTTGTTTTCAGAACGGTCAAAAGAATAGGCACTAGAACAAAGAACAAATGGTAAAGTAATTCATGTTCATGCATACCCTCTGTGGCAGTGACAATATTATAAGGTTGAAGCGACACAGACGTCAGGTTGGGTCAAGCTGGCTGAAGAAGATGGATGGATGTGTCAGGTTCGGAAGCTCATGGAAGCTTGGATAGCTTGAACTTATTCTGTGATTGATTTCTTTGAGCTTTTGGTGAAGCACAGGGCGCTGAAGAGGGGAACAGTGGCAAAAAGTGCTTGGAGGCCATGCTTTGTTGCTCGGTGAGGGCGTGGCTTTGTCGGGCCAGGGGACAAATACAGCTGAGGGGAAGTACAAAAGCGAGCAACTCTGATCAAAATGTTTTGCATTTAAGACCTGTTGCGGTCATGAGCGGTCGCAAAATAGATAGAAATAGACTCCATTCTTCATGTGGCCGGGGGGAGGGAATATATACTGAATACGTTTCCATTTTCCTTTTCCTCGTTGTTTCGGGCTGAAAACACCAGCCACAGGCCTTGGAGAAGCCCCGAGCGCGGGGACCGAGGCTTTTTTGCAGGAAGGCGTACCCTTCCTGATCTTGGTGGCTGCATTTGGATGAACTAAGTCCACAGTGGTCCACTCTGTTTTTGACATGGTTTCCGCACAGGCCGAGGTTGTTCATTTTGGTTCCGAGGCTGTTGCTGTGGAGACTTTGGCCAAGACACCCGGCCGGCAGATGGTGGAGGCGATGATAAATCGGTACAGGGCAATATGCAGTTCCTGCCCAGAAGCATGTTCATTGGAGTCACAGTTTGATTTGCCTTTGGCAAAGTGCACTGCACAGAGCTCACCTGCTGCGCACAGGTTGTCGCTGATGATGGCGTAGACATTTTACAGGAGACGCCTGTCATTGGCATTTTTTGGCCCCGTGTGTCTTAGCCTTAGCACAGAGCTGGTGTAAGGTGTGAGGCAATTCCGCCTCTAGCTAAGGTGAATTGATGTGAATTGCAACTTGTTTGCCAGGAGCCAGTGGAAGGTGCTTTAGTTCTCGGCAGGAGGACCAATGGAGCAATGCGGTATGTGACTTCTTCGGTGATTTGCATCATAAGAAGGCAACGCATAGCTAGGCTTGCATGTATATAAATATGATGCAGAAGGAGCAAAGAAGGAGCTTTGGAGCTTTCTTTATGAATCATGTACCATAGTATCATAATGGAGGTTTGCAAAGAAGGAGCTTTGGTGAATTCTTGCTGGCAGACTCGCAAACGCTGGGGGCTCTGAGTGAGGCCTTGGCACACGCAGACCTTCGCGTTTGGTGTATCATTTCATTTGCAGCACGCATTTGTAAGACGAACGTGATTTTCAATATGTGCAGGCTCGTGAAAGAGCCTCGTTTGGTGTAATATGGTGTAATTAATGTTGAGTGTTGACAAATAAATACAAATAACATCAAGTGACAGATTCTAATCTACATCGACACATGTCGACATATCCCAGAAGCAGGTTTGGGGGCTTCAGAGTGCACTCCAAGGTATCATGGCTGGATCCGCCTCTCTGATGACGAGGGCTGGGCGCAGGCATGTGGAACGACGAAAGTCGGATTGAGTTGCTGGCGCATCCAAACCAACAATGAAAATATCAATCCTGCCAGAAAAGACTCCGTCCTTTCTTGGTAGGTTTGCGTGTGCCCTTTTGTTTTTCCAGCCGGATGAGGAGCAAAAGACCATGATTGACAGGTGCATGCACAGCAAGACCAAACAGCCACAAACACTGGCGTTCGAATCTGGGCCCCTTCAGCACACAGGATTCCCTCCTTGTCCTGCCTCATCATTTTGCTACGAAGTTGGAACATTCAAGCTTTGCCCATGATAACCCCAGAATGCTGCGATCTTAATTTGTCATGTTTGTAAAGGGTGAGGAGTCCAAGAAGATGGTTTGGTGCGAAAACATGATCCAATTCCGTGGTCCGACCACACCCGGCGTGGCAAAAGCGGCTTCAGCGTCCACACCTTGACCGTGGTCCTTGAAGAGGCCGTGAGTGGCTCCGGCGAACGCATGCTGATGGGAGCCGCGGATGCCCAGAAACGGAAATTGTACCGCTTCCGAAAAGCAGAGGCGATATGAGGTGGTGGCCGCCACAGTGCAACATGAACACAAAGTCTAGCAAGTCCGCTGAAGATGGCCAAAAGACATGTCCCAGGTCCGGCTTTTGAAAGTCCCACGTGTGCAAGCCGTTTCGCATATGCGTTGTGATGCAGCAAGATGCCAGAGAAGAGAATGAATACCTACTTAAGATGCTTGAATCCCTGAGATGTTTTTTGCTGTTTTACGATGGTTTTAGCTTTTTCTTCAGGAATCCCTATTTTTCTTGGATTGTTTTTCAGATTTTTCCGGGATGTTTTTTCGCGTGTTTTTCACTACTGCGTTTGCTTTTGCTTTTTGCTTCTGCTTTTGCTTCTGCTTGTGCTTTTTGCTTCTGCTTTTGCTTTTGGCTTTTGGCTTTTTGACTAGCTTAGAGGTATGTTTCACTTCGTTTCACCTTTAGGTCGTTTACCCTTTTTTTGGCTCAAGTGTTGAAGGCGCTTAAAAGGTGCGCTCATGGTAGCGGAGCGCCTGGTTGGAAGGCCAAACCCATTGGGAGGAAGCATTGAAGAAGCCAGTCGAGATTGGAGACAATGGTCTTATCGTCTTGAGCTGTGGCTGAGTAGCCAATTTCCAGATGCCCGGACTCTACTGGGATGGGCCCGTGACCAGGGCGATACGAAGATCACCTTGGCAAACCTTGAGTCTATGAGCTTGCCGTCTCAAGTGCAAAGGGAAACACTGCTGGACTTCAATCGCCAGCTGGAATTGGTACTCGGCACCCTGACTACCGGAAGTCCGGGGGACATTGCCATGAACTCTAGTGCTGGCTCTGGCCTAGACATGTTCAGGCGACTGCATTCACGATTGGACCCAACAGACGCAGTGACCTCTATGAGAATCTTGCGCACTCTCATGTCCACACAGGCTGTGTCAGGCGTAAGTGAACTGGTGCCTGCCATTGAGCGGTGGGAGGACTCTCATCGCCGATACGCTCAGCGTAAAGGCTGCAATGCCTTGGACGAGCAACAAAGGATTGTATCAATTCTTGGACTGGCCCCACCGGCCCTTTCAGCACACTTGGAACTCAACATGTCTCGGTTGACAACGTATGACGCCATGCGGCGGGAAATGGTGAGCTATGCTGAGACTCGCCGGGCTCTCACTACACCAGCTGATTCAGGAGCCACTCCTACGGAGATTGATGCACTGAAAGGGGCAAAAAGTCGTGGCAAGGGCCGGGGAGGAAATGGCAAGGGGGCCAGGCAACAGATCACCTGCTACGTTTGCAACAAGAAGGGCCACATGGCCAAAGACTGTTGGCAGCGACAAGACTCAGAGAAAGATGCAAAGAAAGGATCCAAGGGAAAAAAGGGCAAAGGTAAAGGAAAGACAGGTAAAGCTCATGAGGTTGAGGGCGATGAAGGCCATGAGACCTATGAGCTTGAATACTTTGAGGACTGGGATCACGAAGTTCAACCCGAGGAGGATCCCGATCCGGAAGTAGGTGCCCTCACTGGATTTGTCGGTGCTGTTGTTTGAAGGGGAGGTCAAGAGTGATTGGGGAGGAGACTCGTTTCGAGGGCCGCCCGAGCACTCAGCCCTATGAGATGCAATCTCCGCAAGTAGCACTCGACAGGGGCTGCGCAACCTTCAGGGTGAGCTTGGGCAATCACTGTTCCATCGCTTGCAAACGCTTCGCACTCGTCTACGGGAAATGGACGACGATGATGATGAGAGGACACAGGTTGCCAAGAACCTTAGGGTTGCTGAGGAGCAGCTTGCAGAGATGAAGCTAGACAGAAGGCGGGTGTAAGGAATCGTTCTCCCCGCTTTGCTGCTGACATTGCTGCTGGATGCAATCCACGTCAAGCATGGAGGAAGGAGAAAAGCCGCCAACGGGCAGCAGACAATAGACAGAAGAGCCGGCCAGACAGGGCCGCAGACCGCATCCAGAAAGACAATGACTGGCATGAGAAATTCACAGCAAAAGAGGGCCGAAAGCTTGAGGCCTACCCTCTCATCCCCAATGGGGACCTGATCGCTGCACCCCTGACAAGGAAGGAGAAGCAGCTCTTCCGTCAAGAGGATGCAGACAAAGAACTGGTTGATGCGCATCCGCGTGACTGGACACGCGCAACCCAATGGGGGGACCACAAGGTCGAGAGAGCAAAAGGCGAAGAGAACAGAAGGGGAAGGCAAGGAAAGCAGCAGCCAAAGTCGAGCCAGCAAGTGGAGCAGGTTCGTTTCGATCCGCTCCAGTGACTGCTGAGGCCGATGAGTTCGAGGAGATTGCTGTTGAGACAGAGCCCGAAGAGTTCGAGGAGATTAAGGTGGAGTCAGAGGACGAATCGCCAAGGCCACGGCTGATGAAGAGCCAGATTCTCGATCGGGCAGTGGCTGGGATTGCGGCCGTGACGGCGCAATCAAAGAAGAAGGCTGTCAAGCCCAAGTGGGAAGCCAAGGAGGAGAGCGATGGTCTCTTGAACCACGTCTCGGGGCAAAGGACCGCATCGGTACCTTGCCCGAAGCCCACGCAGTACGAATGTGTGCAGTGTACCCTGGACAGCGGGGCCACCCACAGCGTACTGCCAGTGGCAACACTGGACATCTTGCCACTGCTGAAGCCGGAAGGGCCCGAGGGGTTCCGAACGGCATCCGGAGCCTGGATCCCCAACATCGGGAGCCGCAAATTCACTATGGTGACTCAGGACGGGAAATGCCTGAAAGCAGCCTTCCATGTGGCCGATGTGTGGCGACCTTTGCTGTCAGCAACCCAGTGCGCAAAAGCAGGGAACACCATTACTATGAACGCACGCGGGGCCATCATCACCAATGACAAGACGGGCGCCACTCTGACATGCCCAAGTGGTGGTGGAACTCCGCAGTTTTCCTTTTGGGTCTCACGTTTTCAGAGGCAGGCTGCCCGACCGGGCGTAAGACCCATTTGTTGCCGAGACCATGTTTCACTCAATCTGCTGACTTCCCCAGACGGAAGCTCGGCCAGGAAGGTTTCACTCCCAAAGGCCGTTTCACCCATGAGCCATTTTGGCGCGGAAAAGCTGGGAGCAGGCAACTGGAGACCTGTGCTGTGTCCACAAGGGGAGAGTGCTGATTCAGCACCTGCCCTGCAGGAGGAAGGACAGGAAGCACGTCCAATCGCAAGGCCTCACCAGCCAACACCTGAAATGATAGCAGCTCATGAAGTTAGCCATGTGCCATATCGCAACTGGTGTCGGGCATGTGTTGCTGGACGCGGCCGTGCGTACTCACACCGTCCTTCAACCCAAACCTCCTCAACCCCCGTAATATCTATGGACTACCTCTACTTTAATGAGCCTAGTAGTGGGTCTGGCTCAAGCCTTCCAACCCTCGTCCTGCGAGACGGGATGTCCAAAGCCATCTTCTCACACCTGCTGCCCGCAAAGGGCACGCAAGGGAGCACCTATCCCGAGAAGGCTGTGCTTAAAGACCTGAACTTCTTGGGTTACCGCCGGCTGGTTCTGAAGCATGACCAAGAGCCGTCTATCAAAGCTCTTGCCCGTACCGTCAAGGCAGGCTTTGAAGGCGAGGTTCTGCCGGAAGAGTCTCCCAAAGGGGACGCCCACGGCCAATCCAATGGTGCAGCTGAGCGTGCCGTGCAGACCTGTCAAGGACTCGTGCGGACGCTGAAGGCGCATCTTGAGCGCCCCATTGGGTCCAGCTTCAGCGTTTTGGCTTGGATGGTGGAGCACGCGGGAACGCTGCACACCCTCTACAGCCAAGAAGGTGCTGAAGGCCTCACTCCCTTTCAGCGAATCAAGGGTCGCAAGTGGCAAATTGCTTGCCATGTTTCGGCGAAGTCGTTGACTATCGCAAGAGAACCCAAGACAAGCTGGAAGGCCGCTGGAACGAAGGAATCGTCTTGGGTGTTCGCCTCACAAGCTCTGAAAAGATCATCGGAACTGAAAACGGCATCTTCGTCGTCCAAAGCATTCGCAGAAAGCCGGAGAGCGATCAATACAATGCTGCAATGAACTGCTTGAGAGGATCAAGGGCCTCCCATGGAAGCCGACACCTGATGGAGCTGATCAAGGGGACTCAGATCGATTGCCATCACCCTTGGCTATCGCCCCGCAGGTCACTGAAGGGCTTCCACCTCCGCTCTTAACCAACCAACCAACCAGGTGGAGGCACACCTTACCGAAGGCTGTACATCCGCCAGGCTGATCTGGAATTTCACGGGTACACAGGTGGCTACGATGCTTGCGCCGCTATCCGTGAAGGGCGCAACCGTTCTGGCATCCTGCACTCTGAACATTGCCGCAAGCGAGTGATTGAGGCATTGGGAACAACGGATGTTGGACGGCTACGGCTTGAACGCGAAAAAGAAAAGGAGGAACTGTATATTGCCAAGGTCATTGAAGAAGATGACAAGAAGCGCAAGCAGGAAGCCCAGCCGAAACAACAGGAAGACAAGAGTGAAAAGAAAAGGGCGACAAGCCTGGAGGCGCCGCAGGCGGCCATACTGCCCCCTCCCAATCCGGGAGGCGCCTCTTCATCCTCAGGTCAGAGCACCGATTCGGTTGCCCGACCTAAACGGAAGGGAGGTGAAGCAGATGACAGCTTGCGCGCTGAAGAACGTGAGCAACTTCGAAGCGCCCCGCAGAAGCGGAAGGCGGAAGAACCAGAAGCCATGCTGGAGAGTCTCATCCACGCACAGAGGGAGGCTTACATCGGCACACTGGCTTCCTCAAGACCCACATGCGACTGGGAAGACGGCCTATCGCAAGAGCAGATCTACCAGACTTTCTATGATGATCGGACGGGAAAGGAACTGCCGGCCGAAGGCGTCCGCGCAGCCCGTGCAGAGGAGATCTCTGTTATCCGATCCATGGGCGTCTGGCAGGTCATTGACAGGCCCAAGAACGAGCCAGTGATCGGAACCCGGTGGCTGGATGTTAACAAGGGCGACGAATTGCGAATGAAACTTCGCAGTGGCCTCGTAGCCCAGGAGTTGCGACGGAAGAAGGCTGGTGCCCAAACTTCGGATGACCCTACATGGGAAGAGTTCTTTGCGGCTATGCCGCCCTTGTTGTCTCTGCGTGCGCTCTTAAACCACGAAGCGTATTCCAGGCCCAGATGGCAAGCTTCGCCCCGTATCCGTCAGTGGCGAAGCCTGCATTCTCTTCTTGGATGTCAAGAAAGCTCACTTCTGGTCTCCAATCCGGAGGCGCTTGTTGGTGAAGTTGCTGCCAGAGGCTGGCGAATCCCCAAACAAGGTTGGGCTTCTCAAGAAGAGCTTGTACGGTACCCGCGATGCCCCGAGCAACTGGGAGCATGCCATCAAGGTGGTCTTCGAAGCTTGTGGGTTCACGCAGGGCTTGAGCAACCCATGCATCTACTTCCATGAGGAGCGCCAGTTGTACGCAAATGTGCACGGAGATGACTTCACTGTTGTGGGCGACTTTCACCAACTCCAGTGGCTGGTCAATACCCTCAAGGCCTCTTGGACGTTGGATGTTCGTGGCATCTTGGCAAGACCCGGTTCGGGTCTGCCAGCCTCCGAAGTAATCCACAGCATCAGCGTTCTCAATCGCCTGGTTACGTGGACTGAGAAGGGCATTGAAATGGAAGCTGATCCGCGTCACGTGCAGTTGGTCTTGCAGCAACTCAACCTTGAAGCAGCGACTCCAGTAGCCACCCCGCTGGTCAAGACAAAGCCTGGTGAGGAAAATGACACGCCTCTGTCAACCAGTGAGGCTGCCACGTACAGGAGCACTGCAATGAGGCTTGGGTATCTGTCGTTGGACAGACCTGATCTGCTCCGAACGGTGCGGGAATTGGCGAAAGGATTGGAAGAGCCGACCATGCACCATTGGTCAATGCTCAAGCGGGCTGCCAGGTATTTGCGGGGATGCGCAAGGCTGGTTCAACTCATCCCACACCAAAACAGCTTCACGACTGTCCTGGGTTGGTCCGATTCGGACCACGCAGGTTGCGTCCGGAGCCGGAAATCAACAACAGGGACTGTCATCCAGCTTGGCCAGAGCGTCATCAAGGCCCAGGCCAAGGGTCAGGCAGTCATCGCGCTGTCGACGGGCGAGGCCGAATATTACGGGTTGATCAGCACAGCGTCAGCTGCATTAGGCGAACAGGCAATGCTTCAGGACTGGCAGATAGCGTGTCCTGTCGTTATTGCTCTCGATGCCAGCGCTGGCATCTCAATCGGCTCCCGCCGTGGCCTGGGGCGCGTGAAACACATCGAAACGTGTTTCTTATGGGCGCAGGACCTTGTAGACAAGCAGCGGCTTCGACTAAGAAAGGTGGGAACAGCAGAGATGCTAGCCGATGCAATGACCAAGCCATTGGGACGACTCATGGCATTGCTCAAAGCAATGGGGTTCCACAAGAAAGATGGTAAGCGCGCGCTGGCACTCGATGCCCGAGGGACCGCTACGCGTAAGCTAGCACTCGTGACGGCCACTGAGCCTTCACTCGGGAGGCGTGACTAGCTTAGAGGTATGTTTCACTTCGTTTCACCTTTAGGTCGTTTACCCTTTTTTTGGCTCAAGTGTTGAAGGCGCTTAAAAGGTGCGCTCACTTTTGCTTTTGCATTTGCTTTTTGCTTTCCTTCTGCTTTTGCTTTTGCTTTTTGCTTCTGCCTTTGCTTCTGCTTTTGCTTCTGCCGACTTGCCGACTATCTTCTTTGCATTGACACTGCCACAAAGTTGGATGATAAGACCTTCACCTTCAGCTTTGACACCCAATGACTGTACACCAATCGAGAAACGAAGCAGCCCAGCGCTGTCTATATTTGATTTGCATTGCAGGGGAGGCGCTGCGCCCTCCCCCACACCCCCTCCCGCTTGTTTTTGTAGTTCCACCCCTACTATTTCCAATACCTCTATCACTCGGACCACCCCGCTACGAGTCTTACCGCAGTTACCACAGCAACTATTTTCTTTGCGTTGACGCTGCCACAAAGGTGGATTTCTACTTTGCTTAGCCCAAAGAAACCCGAAACCACTGAAACCCAAAGACAACCGCAGAGAAGTCCCTAGTAAGTGGAATACCTTTTCTGTTCCCTCCCTTTGTCACTGTCACGCTGACTTTGGTGCTTCGTCCCCTGCCCTTTTTGCTGCTCCTAGTGCTTGTAAAGCACTCCCAGCAGAAGCAAAAGCAAAAACAGTAGGGAAAAAACGGGAAAAAAGATCCCGGAAAAAACATGAAACATTTTTTTCATGTCATTGAGTCGATTCTGAACTTTGGTTGACTGGGTGCGTCATGTTTGCGTCGTTTCGCTGAGATTCGACCGGATGAATTGCAGCTCACCACCACCGACGGAGAGGACGGAGTGGCGGGGTGGAACGTGCCCGTCGTGGCCGTGGCCGTCGGGCTAGGCCGCCAGGCCTTGGAATCCGTGGCCGTGGCCGTCAGGCTGCACCGGAAGAAGCACAGAAAGAGCAGACGGCTGCCGCCATGGTTGAGGCGAAGCTGGCTAGCCTTTGGTTTGCTGGTCAACTCTGCATGTCTACCATTTTGATGCATGTATTTTCAGTCAACGCAGCGATTCCCCTCACAAACGGATTGCTTGCATCGCTAACTCCGAGGCGCGAATGTTCGGACAATTTCAAGCTGGAGTTGATAACGTTCAGGGTAGAGAAGGCTTCATACATCTTCATTGGGGGGGGCCCTTAGGCCGCGCGAAGAGAAGCGCTGCGGCAACTGGAGGCAAGGCAGATGCAGCAACCCAGTCCCCAAGGATAGAAATGGACTGCTCGAGGGACTTTTGGGATTTAGGGGGGTTGCATCAGTCTCCAGACTTGTTCCAAGGCGAATGGGGACCGAACGGAGTTGTCACCAAATGGATTCTTTTGAAACAACCAGGAGCAACTATCAAGTGTTTGGGAATTTCTTTGCTCGACCATTGTGGTTGTTAACCAATCATGTACTGTACTACCACCTAAACACTCTTAAAAAACGCTTCCAAAAGCGCTTCTCTTGGCGCTTCTTGACGCTGAGCCCAGCGGGCTGCGTGCCGTGCCGCTTGCCCAGTCGGCCGCTCTTTCGGGCAACTCAGCCTTCTTTTGTGGGGGGCCTCATTTCGTGGATATTCGCTGGCCCAGAAAAAGGAGGGAGAGAGTTCAAGGCACTTCTTCAGGAATTAGATAGCCCTGGCCTGGTGGGAGATCTCCTCCATTCAATTCAACCACGTCTTGTGAAATGGAGCTCCACGGGCATAACGCTGCTGAGCACAGAGCAAGAACAGGACAGTCAGCAAGGCGTGATTGGGTGACATTCGTTTGACACTTCTGGCTGATTGACCTTTGCCGTCTGAAATCTCTTCATTCGTCGGTGACGAGCGACCCAGGTGCTGCTTTGGAAGTGGCACGACAGCAGGGTGTCTCGAAGAAGGACGATGGCTGTGACACTGGCGTCAACATACTGGGAAAGTGACTCATGAAGGGGCATGGAATGAGAGGCAGCTGTCAGGACATTGCAAAGGCCAATGCCATGTTCGATGCTTAGCGTGCTAATGCAAGCTTGGCAACGTTGCAGGCAAACATAATGCGCATGCACATGCATGCTTTGTATGATTTTGTAAGCCCAACCAGCTGTTCTTCCCAGGCGTTCATGATGAGCAGGCTTTGTCCAAGAGATGTGCCTAGCAAGGCAATTGTTGCATTCATTTATTTGTAGTTCGTTCAGGTATGTTCAGGTTAAGGAGTCCGCTGCTGCCCATGTCCAAAAAGTGTGCGGAGTTTGAGATGCTTTCACTGACAGCCAGAATCTGACATGCTTCTGGGCATGAAGAGTCGAGTCCACGTAGTGGGCAGCACAGACCCTATATCAAATTGAGTTTGCAATGCAAATCCCAGTGGCATGAAGATGTGTTCAAATCCCGGTCCTGGCCTCTTGCTGTTCGGCCTCCTCTTCAGCCGTTTCTTAGTTAGGAGGTGGCAGGAGCTGAATCCCTTCAGCTCAGAGACCTCGAGGTGCGAGAATGGTGAGATGCGAACGAACGGAAACTGGTCAAGCCGAGTAAAGGATTTGCTCCTAGTAGTAAGGCCAGGAGCCCCTAGTAGCGTCCTTGCTCCTCCAGGGCGTTCCGGTATGATGTTGTGGTGAGCCCTCGTAAATCGGATGTCCAACGCCAGATGCACGATAACCCATGCCACGCTAAATTATTTTGAGGTGACCGTCTCCTCTCCAAATATGTTTTAAAGTAATTAGAAAGGCATTATTTGGAAAGGCATGTAGGTGGTGGGTCAAAGTAATATCTACCACGTAGACAAAAATATGGTGTAGGATGTTGCAAAATAGTTAATTATTATTTTGACATATTGTTTCTAAATAATTTTCAGCATAGAATGACATAGAATAACAATAACCCATGGAAGAAGGTATGATGCAGGGTTTATTGGAAATTATTTTGCAGAGCTGAGAACCCCTATCTTAACTTGCTATTTGGCTTATTATTTCCGAGCTTCCCTACTCGCTAAATAATTCTGAGCTCAGGTGGGTACACCCACCTAAGAATAGTAAATAAATTGTTTTGAGGTGGGTGGGAGGGTGGGTGGGCAGCTGGCAGCCCCTATGATGCACGGCCAGGCCATATGGCAGCCACAGCGACCACCGACCCAGAATCCTGGCACAGCATAGCATCACAACGATGAATCCCCTGAACTCATTTGCATCGGCTGCCTAAGCTTTTCTTCCTTGACCATGGTTGAAACAGATGCAAACCTGTATGCAAACCTAGTTGCAAACCTATATTTCTCCCGAAAAGTGGACCTGGAGGTTGACTGTCCCGAGGTCATGGCGCTGATGGGCTGGCATGGCGAACCTTTGCTGTCCAGAAGCTGAGATGGATCCCTCATCCTTCATGTCATTCGATCCTTCATGCGATTGCGATCCTTCTCCACTCACGGCGTGTCGTACGGTCGTGATGACTATGGGGTTTGCATGTGTGTTCTTGGTTGTGGGTTTGATTGGTCGGTGGCACTGTGTGTAGAGCTCCCTAAGTCCCTAACCTTTTTTTTGTTCCACGGTAGCTTTCGAGGCTACGTCGGTTGAAGTACCATGTAGCAGAATCTGTTTGCAGCTCAGAAATGCTGAAACGTGCCACAGAGCATGAGAAAGAAGAGGCTTGAATTGTCAAGCCCTTCGAAAGCTCAGGGCAGGTGGTTCACAGTCGCAGGACCAACTGTGTGGTATGAATGCTGAATCAGAACATTGGGATGCAGTGCTTTTGAGGCCCTAGAGATCGCTGCCATCATAGTCCGCAACTCAGGAAGTTTTTGTATTCTCATGCCTTTGGCCACGCTAAAAGCCGCGAAAACATGGTTTTTCATGGTTTTCCGAGAGAGGCTGCTGATGGCTGCTGAGTCTTTGTGCATGGTGGAACAACACTTGCTCACAGTGGTTTCTCGCTCCACTTGTGACAGGTTTGCATGTACCTCTCCGACAAATCGCTGCAACCCAGGGGCCTTTTTATCCGACTGCTGTGGCCTTGGCTTTGGCCTGTGGTGTTCGAGGAATGACTTTAATTGTTCAGCTTCCATATCAAGTTTCGATTCTATTCAACAACAAGCATATTGGCATCGGAGCCTTGACGTGTATTGTGTTTTGGCAGGTCCATCAGCTTCATTGTCAAAGGTCTGTCGGTCAGACCAATTATTCTTATCATTGTGTTTTTCGTTTTAAGTGATGCAAGTGCAAGCGTTTGTCGAGTTGGGTTTGGTCCGAGCAACATCCTGTAGAATGTGTTCCGAAAGTTGTCGGGGAGGCTTGTAGCTTTTTGGCAGTGATTGCTGACTGCTTTCTCTCTGTCTCTCTTTCTCTCTCTGCATTCCACCGACGCTCCCTACTGCTTCCTCAAGTTCAACAGGGCAGGGAATGAGGGCACTGTTGGATTGTTGATGCACCTTCTTAGCATAGACGGGAGTTCCGCTGACAAACACCTCAAACTGTGTGCCCACAGAACGGGTTGGTTGCGGGGCCGTCCTCTCTTGTAGAGAGTGATGGCTGAGGTTGTGCCTGCCAATGGCTGTCAGAGACTCAACGGCGCTTGGGATGTAGCCAAGTGGAAAGGCTGCCAAGTGGTCCAGCAACACCTACAGAGGTGATTAATCTATAACTATACAGTAACAAATCCCGCGTTTGCAAGTGAAAAGTAAGCATCCACAAAAGTCAAGAATCTAGGGAACGCGAAACACACACACAGACATTGTCACATTGGTTTGCCTTCACGGAGGTTGCTACATTGAAATTGTTTTGGTCACTGCAACTGACTTGGAGCTTGGCTCTCAGACTTACTTGGTTGTATTTGGTGGCTGGTCAGATACAAATACGATCACATGCGATATTTGTGTGGTGCTACTATGTTCAGTACACGGGGCAGTGTACCCTTTGAGTTTCATTAGCCATCAGTTGCAGGCTACTTCCGAATGAAGAGCGCAGATGCTTCCACGATGCTGCGGCGTATGGGGCCCGTGACTCAGACATACTCAGGCCAAGAACTGAAGCACATCTACTATCCATATACCCTCAGTATATATACATACGACAACTACATTATACACCCCCGCTGTTAGTTCCTTCATCATCGACATGGGGCACGTCAAAACGTCAAAACATAGTTGTCTGATTCGTTCCCTTGAAACGGAGGTGTTTGCACACCCGCAGCCACTGGTCTTGCTCCGTAGCCGGGCTCCAAGTGCAGACGGCACTTCGCTGTGCCGATCAGAAGGCTTTGTCAAAGTTGATTGTAGAGAATAGCTTCAATGTAGCTGCATGCCATCCAAAGTGTGCCTGTGAGACATGCAGTAAGTCGCCTGGCTCAGGCAATGTTCACTTGCTTTAGCTGCCTGCTGATGGTGTGGCACGCCATCGTGCTGTTGCTCATGTTCTGTGTTGGTCTCAGAAATTCAGTTGGAGCTTTCATCTGCGTCTTTTATCCACACACCCTTAGAATTGCAGCACTTCTGGGGTCGGGAGCTGGTGATTAGACATGTATCAAGGGGTCCTTGGATGTTTGTCAGCTCGGAGTTCTGAAGACAGAAAGATTCCATGCTTCTCCACGTGATGGCGACATGTCAAAGGTTATGACTACACCTCCGAGCAGGTGGCTATTCTATGCGGTGTTATGAAATGATTTTCATGCTTGGACATACCTGTTGGTTTTCAAGAAAACGCTCACGAAAGAACTTTGAACCGAAGTAGTTCCTTGAATGGTGAGTTGGTCGATTTTTGCTGCTTCCATTGAGGGAAAAAAGGAGGGCACTGTATGGCATCTTTGATTCACCGCAGGTTTTTGCTGTGCGATGCCTCATGGGCTGCTCTGGGTTGTTTGTCGTATCTCAGCTGAAATCTGCGCTGCTAGAGGGTGTGTGTGTGTGTGTCTCATTTAACATGACTAACATTGGCTCCAATGAAAGGTCGCCATGACTTTGGTCGCCTGAAAGCACTCAATGCACTCCCTGATGGAAGTTGAACATGGCGGTCCGAGCCGCTGACCCGTTTCCGGTCCTCCACTCCGAAGATGTCGGGGAGTGCTGGATGTCGGGGAGTACAAGCCTTTTCAGCTTCCACCTCATGGGCCCGACTTTTGGGGAAACTGAAAGGATGAAAGGTGGCGAAAAAGGCCGCAGTCGGACAGTGCGCAGACCGCAGCCAGTCATCCTGACTAAATGGCCACTCATACCATTGTGGAAGGATACTCGAGCAATGCTTTCAATTTTTGGGGCGGGCCACCCCCTGCAATTGTGCGTAAGATGTGGGTGTAAGGCAGCGATTTGGCATGACAGAGGAGTGCTGAGGTGCAAGAACCTCACGGACAGCTGAGCGGTATAAACTGAAGCAGCAACTCCAACAGTGACAACAACGGCAACGACAGCAACAGGAACAGCATTAATTATAATAGGAGACGAGCCAATACCAACCACAACAACACCGACAGAAGCAGTAACAGCAGCAACAGCAACAGCACTGGGGTAACAGCTGAGAAGCACCGTTCTGTCAGCATGAGGTCCTCAACTGGGTATTCTGGCGTGATTTTGCGGGGAACTCAATGGGCTTGGCATTCAAGGATCCGGTTTGCGTGATGTTTCAGGTAGATCGGAGTGGACTTGGTGAGATGGTTCAAGATGTTGCTTTGCTTTAGATTGCTTAACTGAGTGTGACGGCAGCGTGTCAGCAGTGTTTAACCTGGACATGCCCTGTGGATGCAAGTTTGCGCAGCTTTTGATCAGCCTTAATGGCTCACAGCATTGGATCATCCTAGCTCAGGTTCGTCACTACCGAGAGACCCAGGAAGACGAGGGGCTACTAGGATGCAACTGAATTAGAAATTAGATCTCAGATTTGAGCAATCATCCACATCAGCAGATGCCCCATGCAACTGAGGTTAGACTTCGTAGACTTGTACAAGCTCCAAGTCCTGTGCAAAATGTACCAGACAAAGGTGCCACTTGCTGAACCTGCGAAATAGCTTTCGGACCCACAACACGTCGATGATTGATGCCACTATGGAAGTTTTGCTTTTTGCCAGAGAGTCATGCTCTCCCAGGACCTTGTCTGAACGGTGTCAATGTGATACTCACAAGCATGATCAAACATGTGGGCCCGATGCCTTCCCACAGCAAGATCAGCAAGCTTCGTGTCATCATCATCATCATCATCATCAGCATCAGCATCAGCATCAGCATCAGCATCACCATCATCATCATCATCATCATCATCAGCATCAGCATCAGCATCACCATCATCATCATCATCATCATCATCATCATCATCGTCATCCTCATCATCATCATCATCATCATCATCATCATCAGCATCAGCATCAGCATCACCATCATCATCATCATCATCATCGTCATAGTCACCGCTTCTTGACTACGCTCGTGCGCTTTGCACCCCACCAGTCTCAACCGTCTCAACGTACCCTCCTCCGCTCGGGCGGAGCGGCGAGTGAACGCACCGTCAGGTGATTCGCTCAAGAAAGGCCTGTGAGGTGCAAAGCCCTGGTGAAGAGGCTGCAGCGAGCCTGTGCTGCCACACCGCCATGATTGCAGCGCGGTGGTTGTTTTTTCTTTGGTCCCAAGGAATGAGAATGACGGAGTTGCTTCGCTTGTTGTGGAATTGGTATCCCTTCCCTCCTAAGGAGGAGCTTGGAAGCAATCTTCTACCATTTGTATCCATTTGTCCAGTTAGTTATTCAATGCACGTGCTTTTTGGGGATTCATGTGTCAGCGTTCTTTGCCTGCAGTGCAGTGGTCAGGCACAATTTGCCTTGAAGAATTCGGGGCCTCTGAGAATGTGGCGCAGCTGCCCTGTGCCTGTCTCAGAGCACGAGCTCATGTTTTGGGAGAACGTTTCCCACGGTGTTCGATGTTCGTCCCAGTTTAGTGCCCAGGCAATGTTTTGAAAACCGTGTCAAATTACTTAAAGTATCTTAAGGTAGAACGGTGTCAAATGTGGCTTGTCTCTTAGTTTTGCACTGCCAAAAACACACATGATGGGTAGCAGGTGGACACTACTTCCACACCGCATGCATCAACAAGTGGGTGCTGGAGGCACATCTCTTCAAGATCGGCCTTCTTGGCTTGCGGGGAACATTGGCACGCTTCGCCATTGGTACGTAATTCAGTCCTGTGAAATGGGTCAAATGAGTTTGTTTAGGGACCAATGCTTGCAAATGGCAGCCAAAAGAAGTTGGAGAGATGTTGCCAGGACTGGCGGTGCCCCTTCCGCTGTGCGTTGGACATGCCAAGGCCAGAACTGCAGGGTCAGCGAGTCCTGCAACCACGACTTTTCAATTCAATGTCCTTGCCATTCCTTGCCCATTGACAAATTTGACAACAAAAGTTCGTCGAGGAACGATAGTTAGGGATGAGGGCACTGGCAAAAGCAAAGTGTCGGGACATCTTTGAGGATCTTATCGGTGGCTAGCACTTAGAGCAAGGAGCTGCAGCACTAGCCATGTGGGGTCATGTAAGGTACTCATAGGTCAATTTCCCTTCCACAAAGGCTAGGTCCGCGAGTGTCAAATCTTTTGCAATAGAGGCAGGGCATTTTCCAGCAAGGTCGCCGAACATCACAGCCGCACTTGTCTTCCCACCAATCACACCCGAGGGATGCCGAGGCCCTGCGCACGACATGACGTCCCGATCGCCACGGGATCTTGCGGATCGGATCGGCGGATCTCGCGGGTCAGGAGCATCAAGGCACCTCAAGCTTGGCCTGCTCAGGCCACCGAGCTTCACTGGAGGGAGCTGCTTACTTCTCGGGGTGGTTGTTTGTTTTCAGGTGAGCAACGTCATAAACATCATAAACCTCTATGAAAGAATTTAGGTAATTAGGACTTAAGAATACTTAAGATTATGAATCTTTGCGAAAGGAAAACTGCAGTTGGAGAAAGCTTGGCGAAAGGTTTGGAGAAAGGCTCTGAATTTTTGATGAATGGATTTTGTTGCGTAAGGGTTGGCGAAGAGGCTTTCAGTAGATTCCTGATAACCAGGCGAAAGGTTGGCGAAAGGTTCGCGAAGATGTGGCGAAAGCAGTGGTTGCAGATTAGGAATGATTCCTCTTTGCTGATACTTTTCTTAGATGATCTTATAGATGTAAGTAGCAGAAACTCGGCGAAAGGGTTAGCTAAAGAGGTTGTCGGGTGAAGTGGGTCGGCGAAAGCAAAACATGCAGCCGTGAAAGCGTTGCGAAGGGATTGGCGAAAGGTTGTTATAATCTTAATAAAAGTTCCGGATGGTTGTTGACACAGTTCAGGTTGACACTTGGACACAGAAAACAACGAGCTAAGTTTTATGCTTGGCATTGTTTCTTTTGAAGTGGCTACTGTGTGATTATACAAAGGGAAACATACAAACTTACATCAACATCATTTCATGAGTTCCAAACGATGGCCAAATACCATGTCCATTGACGTCCTTCTTAGCACGAGGGGGGCGCAAACAAACGTAGAACGGCCACTCCGGCGATGTCGAGGCAAATCCTGAGGCCACTGCCGAGGACCTTGAGGCGGACGATGCCACAGCATGCCGCGGATGTCGGATGGACATGGAACACACGCAATCGAGCACAGCAATCGAGTGCTCGAGATTTGTATCCTTAAAGGTTCGCTGCTCAGAGATTTGGTGCTGAGAAAGGATATCCATGGAAATTCCCAAATCAATGCCTCAGAAAATCTCAGAAAGATGCTTTCAAGAAGGAGGGGATCATCCATGGCTGTGTGTGAGGTGCATCGACAGGTGTTGTTGGCACTGTTGAGCACTTGCAGAAGCAGATAGATGTGTTTAGTGTTTCAGCTGTCCTGCTGGGCCACAGGTGCACAATACATTTTGGGCTCGGATTTCATCCATACCGCTTTTTGTTGGAGCACGTGAACTGTATCCAGCAAGCTGTGCTTCTGTGAAAGCAGGTTGGAGGAAACCTGCGTGGACCCTGCCGTGCCTGTATATTGAACTTATACAATGCAATTGCTCAGTTTCTCCCCAGCCGTCTTTAGAGGAGCATCAGGCGTTTGACATTCGCAGACGCGCTCTTGCCTTTCAGGTCTGCACACTACGGCAATCTGCAGTGCAGTACAGATGCACACGGTGCATGTGTGTGTGTGTGTGTGTGTGTGGGTCCTCGAACCCTGTTTCCACATGATTCGACTTGATTCCACTAATGCCATACTGTTCTACCAATTCAAAAGCTTTGGCAGGGGGTGCAAGCAGCCCATCCAGTTTTGTACCAATGATGACACTGGATGTGTGCTAGTGATATCGATCTGGGACGCTGGATCGAGTACGGCTACGGAATTATGCTCTTGGGAGCTTTCTTCTAAGCGTAGTCGTTGTGAACGGCTACCTGTGCAGCAATGAGCTTTTACGTCGCGTGGTGCAATCGGTTTCACGAGAGTTTCTGCCTTCTCAAGTTGGAGAATGTCACTGTCCCAAGACGAGACTCTCGTGACATCGATTGCGGAATTTGGATGAATTTGGGTCATTTGTGGGAGGCCCAGCCGGCCACACCGCCAGAAGCTCCACGCGTCCTGCACTTGGTCAATCTTGTCTGGAGCGATTGTGAATACAGGTTTGGCAGAAGATAACTTCAGGAAAGCAAGCTCTTAGGAACTCATCTTCAGCGGGGATAGGGTGCTCAGAGGGTGCCTTGTTCACTATCTTCACACTTGGTGAAAGAGATGTAATTTTCTTCAGAGGGGCTGGGGTGGACCTGCCCTCAGGAGGTCAAATGAACCATTGAAGAAATGATTGTGAGATGTGAATAAGTGCATGAAGAACACACACATTCTCAAAAGTCAAAAGCCACTCCGTGTGTATCTTCAAGATGTCTTTCGCCTGAGGCTCCCCAGCTTTGAAGCTACTGGGCTGAGGACGTGTGGAAAACACAGACCCGGTGGCACCGGTGGGGATTGGTGTTTTTTTTCTCCTCTGGAGTGTCATCGGGGCATCAGGCTACCCATGGCATACCCATGGCGACGCAACCAAGCTGAGGCTTTGGGAGCTGGACGAAACAAGGCACCTGAGCTGTAGCGATTGTCGACTAATTCACTTGGAGCACGATGTGCTTGAACATGTCCGAGAGCCCAACAGGCCCAGATAGTCAACATCCACAAAGCCTTTCTGGCCTAGGCCTACGTAGCATGATGTGTTCACAAATCGCAGGAGGGAAACTTTTGGAAGTGGTTTTTGTCATTAAATCCTCATGTGTTGTCCCGGTGCCAACTGCATACCGCACAGTGCTTTCGCGGGGTGTCACAGGCAACCACCTTACGGGACCTTACACAACAAAAGCTCACCTGCAATGCTTTTCAAATCCAACAAGTGCTGTACAGGCTATCGGGCTATCTTTATAGATCGTCGGCACCAGTTCGCGATCTCGCAACACCGCGCCTAAGAGTGCACATCACCCACGCTGGGAATGCCAGTGCCATAAGAAGGCTTTGTTTATTTTGGAGTGTGCTGAATTAGTCTGGAAGATTGTACCCAATTAGCGGTCTCTACCTTGGTGCTCGGGCCCACTTACCCGCTACACAGGCCTGGCCAAAGAGAGTGGGTGCTTAGGGTAGACACATTCTTCCCCGTAAGTCGCATCCACCTGTTGCATCGAATTGCTTTGTAGTATTTGATTGAATCTGCTTGGAAATCTGAGTGTGGTGCCCTGCCTTTACTTATGAACGCGGTGCAAGCAATTTTCCGCTGGTCTGAAGGGCAGACAGAGACTCGCTCGGTTCCAAAATCTTGCTGACAAAACAGCTTGAGGAGTGGCGGATGTACAGATGTCTCAGATCTTGGATGCTCCTCGAGCAAAGATAGAGAGATAGAGAGGGTCGAACAAAAAGACTATAAAAGTCTGATGTGGGCAATGGTTTCCAGACATGCATGCCCAATGTTTTGAATGCTTGGAGAGTGCATTCCAAGATGTAATTGAATAGTTCCTGCTGGCGACCGCCAAGGCTAAAGAACTCCCCGAATCATTTGACCAGCCACTCCGTTCAGCGACCAGCCCGATCACCAAATGTTGAACCTTAAATGTGGTTTTCAGTCGTAGTGTACCTTATCATTTTGGGGCTGGACCTTCGGGCCAAGCTGGACGGACAATCTGATGGGCGATTTGGTGGCTGGAAGAACCACGCCCAACTCGGGAGAAACAACACGTCCAGCCCAGCTCGGGGTGGCGTGCGTGCGAAAGGTCGCATTAATGCATTGTAAGAAGAGCTTGATGATTCAGGACAATAGAAACTAAACATAAAGCCAAGAATTTGCTAGAACCAAAGAAGCCCTGTGAAGTGCTCGCAGCAGGCCATAAAGGTCTTGCAACGGCGCGTGAGACGATGCATAGACCGCTGAGATGAATGCACTTTGTCTGGTGAAGCATAAGCTCCCCAGTTCCCCAGTTGCATGAGGAGCTTGGAGCTCTGTTGCACTTGCGGAAACTTGTGGCACCTTGTTGCTACCCAGTTGGCAAGGGCAGCAACCAGGAAAGGTATCATCGTTGGCCTGTGAGATGTGCTGCCTTGAGGCACGCGTGAACCGAGTCGGAGATGACCCCACCACTGCTCCAAATGTGAGTTGGATGATGGCATCTGTGGCTTTTGGCAAGCAGCTGGTTCCGCTTAGGCTTAGGCAGCCAGCCTCATTCACCTCGCAGAGCAGCCATTGCTTGCAGCATTGTAGAAGAGATGCATATATACATATTAGAGCTTATCTAAATCCAAGGCGTGTGTAAGGGGGTTTGTGAAAAACATGCACTTCTCTCAAATGTTGTCCAAACAATCCGCAAAAGATCCGCGATGAGGTTTGCAAAGGTGTGTTTAAATAACGGTGTTTCGAAGGTCTTCATATTTACATTAATTTAATGTTAATTATTTTCTACCGACAAAGGGCACAAGGGAAACCTCCGGCAGAGCCGTGGGCGGAAGTGTCCCCACAGTCACAGACTAACAAGCTGAAGCCTTGACTTCTTCCTTACGCAGCTGTGAGTGTGTAGAGAATTCTTCAATTCCTTTCCTCAGAGTTACAGACTAACAAACTGACACCTCAACGTTTCTTGTGCAGCCCTGACAGTGGGGGATTGATTTGGTTAAGGTCCAGGTGGGAACTTGATCCCGCCTCCATGCCCCAGCTGCCTTACCCTAGCCTATGTTGGTAGCTAGCACGAGGGTTTGTTCGAGTTGTGCATGACTCTCAGCATCCTCCAAGATGGTCCACAAGGATTCTTGCTCAGATGCTGCCAGAGTCTGCAAGTGACCCTGGAGAAGCCGTTGCAACCCTCAACCTTGTGTGAAATTGCTGTGTAGATGCTTTGCAATGAGGCCATGAAAGATCCGCAAAAGATGTAGTTTCGCGATGAAGGGCCATTGCATCATGAAAGAAAGTTTATCAACCACCCATATGTAATGTTTATATATGTTTATATTATTCTATATAGTGTCCTGTGCATTGAAGTGGACGGCTCAATCCCCCCCAACCGTTGCACCTAGGAGCAAGGCGCAAAACGACAGGTAGACCAGGTAGACATGAGTAGAACATTTGCCGATTTTCCTTCTGAAGAGGTGTGCAGAGGGCGTGGGCCAGAAGTTCTGTTCGGGTGCGTTGAAGTTGCAAAAGCCAATTCAATTGAATGTGGTGAGAAATGCCACTCGCCGGAAGTTTAAGCCAGTTAAGCCCATGTTGAGCAAGGACCTGGTTTCGCCGCACCTCCCAGAATCATTGTTCCACTGAGAAGACTTGGGTGTCCTTGTTAAATGGTGGCACTGTGCTTCCTGTCCGGCTGGAAACAGTGTCACGTGAGGTGCAGAGGCAACCAGTGCTGATTGGGCCCGAAGTTTGATTGAGGCAAGGTGTATTGCACATGCCTTGGGCAATTACTATTTACACCATGCTGTTAAAACTCTTTGTGTTCTTGTTTCGGATCAGGGCTACTACGTGCAGAGCTCACAACGCACAGATTTGCCTGCAACAGGGCTAGCATGTCGGACCAGGGTGGCATTCGTGTGCCGCTGGCTGGACCATGCTAGAGCTGCTTAGGGGCCTAAGGGCCTATCCCATGCCTCTTGACAAGGGCTATCGGCTTTTGCAACACTTTGTAGCCATATTACCCAAGCTGCCACACGTCAAACCATTGCATTCTTACGTTGGTCCTCACCATCAGAAGAAGGTGCCCTCGATTGCCCTCGTGCGTCCAAGTGTGCATGCATAGCTCCGTGATTAGGGTAGTGCATGGGGCCTAGGCGGCCTAGGGTGTGTTTAGTGCTATTAGGCGATACCCCTTTCTGTAATCAAAGTGCCTTGATCAAACTGAGTCCAGCTAATCGACAGGGCTTCATGAAAGAACCAAATGCCTAGTACATGATCCAACGTGCTGATACGCTGGGATCCCAAGATATCCCAAGCCATGTGCCATACGCTGGGCCGATATCATTGGGCCGTTCGATCGAAAGGCATGGATTTCATGCGTCAGGAGTCCGATTCCGTCATTGATGGGCCCACGAGATCCAACGGTGGCAGAAATAGGTCCGCCCTTTTGCGGCCGAACGGGGTGCGTGATCCAGGCCAGGCAGTTCAAGGGAGTAGAGGGGAGTATGATATAATACTTGAAGTTTCCTGTGTACAGTACACCTCATATGTAAGCACAGTTCATGAACAACTTGTACTTTTGGCTCAAGTGGTAAAAGGTGCGCCCGCAGCCGCTGCCACGTCGCGGTCACGGCGTACTCAACTTGTGTTGACTGTTTGGTTGTTGTTGGGTTGGTTTCCACTTCTAGTGGTTATCAGCCGTATCGGCTTGTTTGATTGTTGTTCTTTTGCTTTTGGGGGAACAGCATTCTTTCACATCCATCCGCTCGGCGCGTGCATGGACGCTGACCCTCCTCGTCCTCATCAGAGAGAACGAGGAATCAGGTCTGGGGCCGCTGCGAAACGTCGTCGCACGGCCTACGCACGGAACGTGTCAGAGCAGACTGGTGTTCCGGTTGAAGAGGTGCCTATCATCCATTCAGGTGGACAATCAAGGCCGCTCTACACTCCTCGCATTTGGGACAACGAGAGTTCTGGTTCTGACGAGGACGGTGCATTGGAGGGGGCTGGGCCTGCGGTGGTTTTGCCAAAGGCCAGGCCCTTGAGTGTGGTGACGGCTGAGGTGGTCAGGCTTTTTCCTCGGTCAGCCTGGTTCCAGGGTCGAGCAAGTGTTGAGTGGCGTGGATTGCAAGGTCTTTCTGAACGACGCGCCCTTGCTGCCACTCAACCCCCTGGTATCATCCACCCTTGGTCTGGTGTCGTACACCCTTGGTCAGTTGGAACTTCAGATACGCCCGCATCGTCTGTTGAAACTTCAGAGACGCCTTCAGAGCCTGTTGTGACTTCAGCGACGCCCTCAGCACCAGTTCCGACGTCAGTGACGCCATCATCACCTGTCCGGATCCCACCGCCGCCGCCAGTGCCGATCAGACGGGTCATTTCGGCCGTGCCGACGGAAGCTTCGAGCTCGGCACCAATCGCATCGCCTCCAAAGGTTGTGATCAGGCCAGCAGCGGCAAAGTTTTGGGAAGGAAAAGCAACAACAGTGGCATTGAGCAAGGCTGCATCTCTCGTCGTGCCGTCAAAGCCGACATCAGTTGTTGGTTCACCTCCAAAGCCTGTTGAAGGGTTACCCAAGAAGTCATTGCCGAAGTCAAAGGGTACAGTGATTATCAAGCCAGCTGCAATCCGGAGTTCATCATCGGCAGAACCCAAAGCAGACGTGATTGTTCCGTCTCAGCGTGTTGGTCCATCAAAGGCTCCATCCATTTTGGTGGAGGACGATATTCCGGATTTGCCGTTTGAGGTTCCAGTGTTGGGTACGGTTGCAGACAGTTCATCTTCGTTGGTGGAGTCTTCTGAGGTGACTGAGCTGCCGTCAGGCCCGACAGAGTTGATTGAGCCTCCAAAGGCATCAGCAGAGGTTTCAAGTGATTCAGGTCCGCCACCAAAAGCACCTCCGTTTCAGCCGTTCGACCTGACTTCAAAGTCATCCAGTTCAGGAGGAGCAGCAGAGAATCCGTCGTCGATCATTGTCATTGAGGACGAGGCCATTGAACTTGAGGAGGCTGGTAGGGTCCAGATTTCCCCATTTC